AATACGAGGGAAAGGTCTAGTTCCAAAAGGCCGCTACCTCGGTATCACCTGGACAGCACATCTAGTAGCGAGGTGAGCACTTGATAAATTTATGTGAACAATACCACTTTACAACTTTAAATTGTTAAAAATTCTGTAATTTTGAGGTTATGTACATAATTGTATAGTGCTCCTTTTACTTTTGTCACGGAATGTACTTGTTCGATGATACACCATAATTGAATCTTTGTGCTGTAGGAGGAGGAAATCGTGAATTTAAAGCAAGCAAAAAAGAGAAAAAAGATTAATGCAGTGGGCTCTGACAGCGACTGACCACCCAGTGTCTTCAAATGTCACATGGACCACGTCACGTGTGTGCAGCAAGCTAAACTAGCCTTAAGAATAGTAAGATAATATAGTATATATAATAGATTTATTTAGCGCGACTTGTAAATATAGCGTACGTTGAAGAATGAATGCGAAACCGCCGTACCGACAACAAGGATCTTGCACATATTTCGCAGCCACAGTATATTAGCAACGTTGCCAGACTCTATTTCCATTAATTCCGTTATTTGTGTCGGGCGCATTCTAACGCGAAACAGATTTAGAATGCATGTGATATCTAACGAGAAGAAAATTTATAAATACTGGTTATAGCATTTCTAGGTAAACGCATGTGACAGATTAACATTGTCGTGGCGGATCGATGCTCTGGATTTCGGAGCTGCGAAGCCATCGTGTGTCTGTCAGATAAAGTTACCGAGAGGTGAGACTAGTCACGAATTAAATTATTTTGATATACTCTTAAATGTATGAACGCATAAATTTAAGATTAAAAGGATCGGATCTGGCAATGTTGGGAAGGGGGTGAAGCGACACGACGAAACTACTTTCCGTGATCACTTTGTTTCTAAAAAAAAAAAGAAAGAAATCCGTCGTCCACGCGCAATCTTGTGGTAGACGTCAAAGAATCCAAGCACGATTGTGCCTAGTTTTATCATTCGTTATAATTTGTTTATTAATTTTGCGATTTAGCATGGTATCAATTGACCTATTGGCGAAATTTATTTCATTTTCCTTTTCCTTTTCATTATACTATAATTACCTCTTAAGATTCTCGCGTCTCACACAATTGTTAACGAGGAAAGAAATGGTTACGTTTGTTGCCATAAACTGTGAACGCAATTTGTACGAATCGTTGATAGCTTTTTATTAGGATTAAGGACCTTCTGCGGGAGATCGGGGATGTATCAAGGACGCCCTTAGCTCCGGCAAGAAGCGTACAGTTTTATGACCAAATGTATTTTACGTCTGCGCTTAGTAAGCATAATCATTCTCAAGACGCAAGAATTTTTATATTTTGCACGATGGAAGGTTGTCCGTTTTTCTAAGTATCGTTCTTTTTTTTTTCAAAATACCGAATATTTTTATGTTTGTTTCGAATGTTTTACGCGAAATTGATATTAGATGATTAGATGAAACATGCGACTGTTCCTCTTTTTAATCGTAACTTTTACGATGTATTTACATTCACAAAGAGATATATATATATATCTGTATATGTTATGCGCAATTGTATCCGAATCGTTAAATTGATTTACAATTTATAAAGAGCATACTTCCTCAAACATTTTCCGTAAATCGAGTTCAATATTACTTATCATCTATTATCATCGTCTAGGTTAATTATCGCGTTGGTCGCAAGATTCGTTGACTTGACATCGTCTGTGACACCTTCCACGAGTATAGAACCAGGCGTCATGTACACTTAAGTCCTAGAAAACGTAAGCGTGAAGTGTCACCGTTCACCTCTGTACATTTCCTGTAAAATCGGTTACTTGTAGTACACGTAAGTAGCTGCGTTATGTATTTTCTAGTTTGTACATACCAGAGAGAACGGGAACGCGCGAGTGTGTTGTGCGTGTCATATGTGTGTACGTTGTGTGTGTGTGTGTGTATGTCTGAGAGGGCGCGGATAGACATTTTCGAATACTGAAAGAGACTTTTTTTCCACAAAGAGGTTCGTGTTTCTTGCGCAAATCTGATTTTTATCGGACGAGAGCAAAAGTAAGATGGCGTATATGTCGGTAATAATGTCTTTACCTCGCGCACAGTGTGTGCGTATGAGCGCGTGCGTGCGTGTGTATACGTACCAGCCATTTGTAACTGTGTATAAGGTGTGACAGTCGATATTGTTATTAGGTCTTTTCTACTTGTACATAAACTGCGGCGTTATGTGAAAAAATATTTAAAAAAACTGGCGGATGATCAAACACGTGGGACGAATGTACGAACATGAAGAAGAATGCATGATATAGAGAACGTATACGTGTGAAAGAGATGTTGGTCGTAGACACAGATGGACAAAAAAGCGAAATTAACGATGCGCGAGGGCAATACGAAAAATACACCTGTAAACATTTAATGTTTTTAACGATCTTGTACACACGAATACACATGTAAATACATGAATATATTATCGTAACGCGAGCATAAACATTTAATGTTTTTAACGATCTTGTACACACAGAATACACGTAAATGTAAATACATCGAAAAAATTACCGGAAGTAAACACGTGATTCCTGTTCGTTTCTCCTTTCGCTTGATATCTCCGCCCTACCCCTCTCCACCTTTTATCAGGCATTCCGAACACGCGACGAACAATTTCTGTTTACATTTTTGCACGATTTCACTCGCATCGCAAATGTGTCGTAAATGTTTAATTTGACATTTGTACTGTACGTTTACATAGGGTGGTCCACGCAATTTGCACACCTTGATTGATTCCTAAAGTATACGTTGTATGAACAATCTTTTTATAATGCTATATTTTTTATGTCAATATGCCGTTAAATTGGCCCTAAGGTCGAATGTCATTCCGAAGAAAGGTTCACTTTGCTGTTTTCATTGAAGGTATGTATTCATTTTCAAAAGACTACTGGCATCCCTAATGGGGGAATTATGAAGAGAGGTGATTAAGCAAATGCAAATTAATGTAAAGCAAGAATTAAATGAATGTAATGAACGAACAATTGCACAATTGATAAAAAAGAATTGATGGTTTGACTGACAATGAGTCGCAGAAACTTATAATTAATTATTCCTCGTACGTCTCACCAGACGCAAGCCACTGTCTTTTTGGAATGCAAAACCTTTATCTAGCTGAGTTTATCTGAGAACATGCTCTTGTCGTCACGCGTTACGGAGTGCTATCAAATAAGATTGTTGACGAGGAAGAAACGGAACACATCGATACTACAATATTATGACAAGAATATGTGTTTTATCGATCGATTTTTTTTTTCATTCTTTTGTGACACAGTTACTAAAAATAATGAAAACATCTACTAGCAACAGAATGAAACGTTGGCATTTTAATAAATATGACTAACGTAAGAATGACGCCATCAATCTACGCATTGGTCTACGGCGTAGACTCTACGTCAACGATATCTCGTAGGACGCACAAGACTCTTCGTTCAACTCGATGGAAATGTAGATTCGCGGAGAGCTATCGAGTAGATTTCCATAACGAAAATTAGTTCGTTTCATTGTAGAGTCGCTTTTCCGAATCTTATATTCAAAGGATGAAATAATAGATTAAAATAAATGGAACTGTAATTATTTGTGGATACTCGTATTTTGCTACAGTTAAAGAGGAAATGGAATGCACTTACATTTAATAAAAAAGATATATCAAGTGATAATCAATTTATTTTTTATTTGAATGTTAATGTAACTTTGTTTCAAGTTACAAGAAGTTCAAATTCTCGGATAACGCTTTGCATGCTGGCCAGTTTATGGACCTGAGAACACTATAACCATCTAGCGGCAGCACCTGAACTAAATCGCCTGTGCATAGGCAACCCTTCGTGCTTACATGTTGAGCGCCTGTTCGAGCGCACGGCCTGGGTATGCTCGACAAGTACGCATAGGGGGTTGCCTGTGCACAGGCGCTTTAGTTCAGGTGCTGCCGCTAGATGGTTATAGTGTTCCCGGGTCCATAAACTGACCAGCGCCAGGAGCAACATCCGAGAATGTACATTTTTAGTACTACAACAGCTTTTATCTTTAATTAAAGTCTCGCATAGTAAAATAACAGAGGATTTTTCAATTTTTATAGTATTAGGAAGACGCGGTACACGTTCTTCGATTTGTCATCTTGAAACAGCCCGTTTAATTGATCCTAGAACTTGCAATGAACTACGACAAACGATGTTTGCACAATTCCTTTATTAAAAATGTTCAATGACATCAATAACAATTATACCCAAATGCACAAAGAAACGTTCTCTCGTTAACCAATTGAAACTGAGAGAGTTCGATAAAAATATTTACTTTGTATGATCGATATAGTCAGTTGCAATTAAATATTAGTAATCAGCTATGGATTTTCGACTTTTTAATAGATTAGTAGGCATGCATGAAGCCTACTACGTACCCGTGCGAAATTTGAAAGAATTCCGATAGCATTTGGCCAAGTGATTTATATTTTAAAATGTAATTGAATTTCGCGGAAAAGAATTTTGAAATGCCGCGAACATGCGCATTTATTTCGCGCAGCACGTGATCAAACTAATCAGAAAGTATGCATAGTGGGGAAGCTCATCGCGTTCCTTATGCTTATAAATCATTCGGGCATTAAAGCAGGGTTCAGGTTTATTGGGTGATACAATGAGTAATATTCTCGAATCTGTGTTTTGGAAACAAATCATCCGAAGAAATTCCAATTTAGCAGCGTGATTTATTAACGTTTAAACCATAAACGCGTATAATTACAATTAAGAAGAAATATGTTTCCATTACATTCGTAGCAGAAAAGAAAGAAAATATTTATGAACGATTATTGTTAATATTAGAATGAATAAAAGATACAAAAATAATAATTCTGCTTTAATGCGTGCCTCGTTCGATACATTAAAAAAATGAATCACTTACCTCGAGATGTTCATTCCCTGAAAATAAATCAAGGCGATTGTCCATTCAAATACGTGGTTCAAAATGCAAAGAGACAATTATTTTTAATCGATATATTTAAAATTAGTGGTCATGGCCAGTTACGTTTAAACAATACACAACACTGCTCCCACAGTGCAGAATTCGCGTTTACTTTCCTTTCAGGTAGAAACAGCGGAGTCATCGTCAACAAACAGTTTCAAAACGAATCACCCGCGAATTTTCCAATCGCTGTTCCGACAATTAGGTGCATATGAACATTTAAGACGGTCGAACCCTTTCGCGACGCACGAACGGAAATTGAGGACTCTACGTATACTTACTTTCCATTGTGCCTCCTTTACCGATGTCAATTAGCGCTATGGGCATAAGATATTACACTGTGGCTCGTAGAGGACTATAGTTGCCCTTGAACTATAGCGAGCATGCTTTACGGGAAATGATTATAGTCGCTCGCCGTCTCGAAAGGGTTCAAGGTACACAACGGTATGTAAGTTTACTATTATCGTCGGCAACACGCTAAAGAGGGACAGTGATTGCAAAAATTGTAAAAGTTCTCGACAAAAATGTCCGGGGTTAGAGAGAGGGCACAATTTCGTAGACATTATTCGAGCCGTTCGTCATCATCGTCAGAGACGGGAGAAATTGTGTTTGATCGAAAAACGACGAATAAAAGAACTGTGCAACGACTTATTCACAACGTTGATTCGATTGAGCTGATATTTTGCCTCGATATAACGACACGAATCCTTCTCATTGTTGTTAGAAATATTACGGTCGCCTAAACATATTTATTATGAGCCTCGCTTGACTGGAAACTAATACAAATTAATATTTTATATTTCGCAGCGTTTGTACACGGGACTATAATTAGTGAATTCGTGTGAGTTTCCCGATGAAAATGAGCCCAAACACGACCGTATTCGGATCGTATTTAATTAGACGCGTGAGAATGATTTCAATAAATGATTCGAATGATGAATAATCGAGAATGGTCCGAATGGGATCGTGTTTGGGCTCGTTTTTATCAGGAAAATCTCACAAATCCATTCCTGATACTTCCAAAAAAAAAAAAAAAAAAAAAAAAAAATATTCTGAAAAATAACATGCCTTAATATTTACTAGCCAAGGACTCATCCCTTGTCACACTACATTCAACCTTGGATCAAGGAAAGTCGACGCTCGAAAACCTCAACCCTACCCCGAAATAACAACACGCACAAACCTAATCGGTGTCGTTACATCGAGGCGAGACGTAAATTTTGATTGCACAATTCGGATTGGCCTCGTTGATGTCGAGGGTAAACAACGTACAGCTGTTTATCTTTCATTCGGTTAATCGAAATTCGTATCCGGATAAGAATTTCGCCCGTCTCTGGTCTTCGTGCTGTTCGACAATCTGTCACGGGCGTGTTGATTCTATAATTAGGTACTTATACGAAAATCATATCTAGCATCACCATTTCGCAAGGCTTTCCCGTTCACTTAACGCTCATGCAAGATCGCTTGGTAACGTCCCATTAACACGTTCTCGTTGTATACACGCGACAAAGAAAGAGTTCCTCTACGTAATCACACCGTCGTAGATACAATCGGGCCACGCGCACGCAACTCTAATATACATACAGGTTCCTCTGGCCCACACATTAGGTTTTCGTCGTTTCTTTCCTCCAGTCTTCTTCCTTCGATTTCTTCCGCGTCTTCCTCGTCATCTTCGCGCCGTCCCACGAACGCGACTCTACCATGGTATAGACTTCGTACGTATATATATGTACACAGTAGTAACAGTCTAGGCTCCTAAGGCTGCTAAAAGTCTCACTTGTAAGATCTCCCCCGCGAAAGAACGGGAGCGGCGACGCGTGTTTCAAGAGTTCAGGGTTCTCGATGAGGGGAGTGGGGGGAGAGAGAGAGAGAGAGAGAGAAAAACGTTGGAAACGTCTCTCATCGTGTGTCTAGTAAATCACTTCGTATACAGTGGCTTTTTTGTCACCGGATCCGGTCACGATGTACTTGTCGTCGGCGGAGATGTCGCAGCTCAGCACCGACGAGGACTCCTTCGACTGCAAAAAGAATTTATATCGGTTCTCGTGTGGTCGTCGCGAGGTTCGATCTGCGTCCCGATCGGACACGCAGGATGCATGCACGAGCGAAGATATAACAGTGCGCGCTGAAGAAACGGTTTGCTGAATTTACAGAAGGCCAAATATTAAGTTTCGTGATTTCTTTTTACGGAGAAAAATTGCAGAGGACGTTTAGTAATTCATTCGATTCATTTCACTCCCAACGGAACATTTCTGTCGCGAGTTTCTAAAATGAGATCGTTATCTTTTTTATTGAAAAAAAATGCAATATTTTAGAGAGGTGTGTTTAAGAATTGTTTGCACGTCTTTATCGGGTACTGGGCATCGATATCAATGACACAGATATATGTTCAAACAGTAGATCATGAGAAATCTGATGGGTTCCAGGTGATTCATTTGGTAACAACCCTGCATCCCTTGCAGAACCATATTTTCTACTACACCCTGACTGTTCAACAATTTCGAAAAAGTTTACAAAAAATCTATAAAAAAAAGACTTAGTTCCCTGTAGTTGCAGTAACATGTTAGCACTGTTGTGAAATTGGATGACAGTGATTTTCACTGAAAAACTAAAGAAATTAATTCTGAAAGTGAAGCATCAAAGAAACTGAATTTAAATGAAATTGATAAATTATGTAGCTTCCAATAGTCTAAATAACATGTGATCCTACCAGAAATGTTCAAGAATATTTGTCTGGCAGTCAACGGGTTAACCCTACAGTGCACAACCGCATTTTTCATTGATATTTTATTACACAACAGGATAAACAACAACTTACGCGCTGTTCCTAACAGAAATAAGACATCCACGTTATGAAAAGGTCACAGCACCATCGAAGATAATTATTTCTGCGGTAAAGGGTTAGTCGCGTTTGTTTCCATTTGAAAAAATTGCGCACTGTAGAGTTAAGTTGGAACATCCCATTCGATATCGTGCAACCTTTCGTGGTTTCTAAAGTACCTTATCCAATTGCTACCCACCTGGAATATCGAGGCGCCGTACGGCGTGCGCCAAGCGTTCAACAGATTGTCCTTGCCAGTGGAGACAAACCATTTGCCGCAGGACGCGAAACGCAGTGATAGGACGCAGGATTCGTGGACGAGCAGGCAGTACTTGTCGGACTTGGACGCGTGGAGCACCTCGACCTTGGAGTTCTCCATGCCAACCGCGAGCCATTCTCCCGTGGGACAATATCCTAACGAGAATATCTGCGAGTTCAAGTCGTGCTGCTGCAACTGCCTGCCTTCCCTAAGATCCCAGGAACGCACGGTGTTGTCCAGCCCTCCCGTCCAGAGCTTCGTGCCATCCGCGGAGATGTCGATGCAGGAGGCGCCGTCCGTGTGCCCTTGGAACTGCCGAATCAGGATCTCGTTGTGGAGATCCCACACGGCGATGTTACCGTCGCTGCAGCAACTGAAGCAGACTTTCGAGTCCGGCGAGATGGCCAGCGCGTAGCAGGCCGGCGCCGAGGAGGTCAGTTCGGCTTTGATCCGCGGCGTTGGGCTGGCCAGGTCCCAGATGATCAGCTGCCTCGCCTCGCCTCCAACTATCAGGGTTCGGCAGTCGGGCAGCAGCTTCACCGATCTGACCATTTTTTGCGACAGATTTTTCAATATATTTCCGTGAACACGTGTAGTAAATATGATGCGAATTACGTCGTGTTTGGTCTCATTTTAATCAGAAAAATGTCAGGAATACGATGGTAACAGTTTTACAAGAAAAACGGTAATAATAAAAAAAGGTTCGATCGTTGCATTAGCATTGTCTCATCGAGATATCCGATCATGTTACTGTCCATTTATTAGATATAAGAAGTGTAAAGCGTAAAGTGCAAAAGTGTAAAGTGTAAAGTGAGATCAGATATAAGTTAGCAGGCACAACATTGAGAAGCCGTTACCGGCGCTAGTTGTCCGTAAAAGAACAAGGTATCCAGCATACAATTATTTTTCAAAAAATGCATCTTCATAAATTATACACTACCATTAATATATTATTTTAAAAGTTACGAGTTTCGTCTCGAGCGTTCATTTACACATCACTGTGCATCGTTAATTTTAAGAAACATGAAAAATCGCGGGACGTCTCGCGATTTCCTCGCATCGCCCTAACGAAAACGTCACCGAGCGGAAAGATTTGATATAGCGTCGTACAAGTTTGCTCAGCGTCGGTAGGCAGAGTGCATCCCCCGAAGGAAACTGACCTAATATAATTGTTGCGTTGCAGGCAGTCCAGTTGCGAGACGGGCTTGATGCTGCCGCCGCCTTCGTGTCCGATGTCCCAGACTTTCACGCACCCTTTGCCGCCGGTGTAGACGTACTTGGTCGGATTCGAGATGGTAACAGCGCACACAACTTCGCCGTGAGTCAAGGTATTAATCTGACGCGCGTGACGTGGAATTCCCGGTCCTATCAGAGCGTCCGTGGGGAATGCCACAGGCTGCATTTCACCCTCGCCGTTCGCATGGAACGAGATTGCTCTGCGGTGAAATGTAAAACGTTAATGGCATTGTCGTTGCTGGGAGTCCTCGATGCCTTCGATCGCTTAAGAGCCGAGGCGTTCAACGAAAACCAAGTGCACGTAGAAACAATGTGGGACGCGCTTCCCCGAACTTAATGGTTCGCGCTTTAAACGCGAGGAGATGTTAACCCTTTCGCTGTTACACGCCCTATAGGCACCTCGAGCTCCGACGCGTACGCAGCGTGCGTAGGGGAGCATCCATGGGATAATACGACTGGCGCCAGTCGATTGGCGCCAGTTAGCGCGCGGAGGTATGGAAATTCAACTGGCGACGGAAAGTCGACGCTAGATTTATGGAAGTTCGAAGTATCCTACAATGTTTGCTATTTTAGGTTTACTCTTTACGAGCTTTTGAGCACGTTTTTATCTATTCCGAAAGTAATTTCGGCGCATGCTTCCTTTTTTTATTTATATTTTATTTATTTTCTGACTTTAGTAAACCTAGTGTTAATGAACGCGAGTGTTGGACGCAGCTGAATGCGCTGTCGAGTGGTTGGGACGACGCGACAGTAATCGAGGTAAGAACTATGACAGTTAGAGGGTCACTGCTGTGTTTAGATTCTTTGCGTTTCTTCTACTTAGACCATGTTTATTTTTAGACTGTAATTAACATCAGAGAGCATATGCTTCGAACGAAAAATTTAGGAATCGAATAATTAATTAAACTCCAATATAAATAAGCAATGTATCTGATCACTTTTATTTTGGTTTATCTTCTCTATTCCCTCTATTTATCCTCTTTTATCCTGTGCCCTGCTGCGTTACGTTGTATTATGCATCGATACGCTATGTTTGATTGTATCATGCCGCGCAATGCTGCGTTTCTAACGTAAAAATTGTATTTCATCGCTCCTATTGCCGTTCATCTTCTCCGTTTCAGATGAAGGAACCCAAAGCTGTTTGGATTCCTGCGACGCAAAGAGTTAACCGTTATCGACTGCCACGGTCATTAAACCGGAGACCTGAAGCTTTGGGTCGGGCATGATCCACCGAAATCAACAGTACAGAGTTTGCTGGGTGATCGCAGGCGCAGCCCGAGTGCACGAACAATTCCAGCAGCCACCCATCTAAGCAGTGACCCAGAGCGGCTTAACTCCACCAACCAGACTCGCTTGTCATTTCAGACGATAATCTCTCGAAGGCTAGCTTAGCAATTACCAACTATTTAACGAAAACTGGCTCGACGAGTTCTCTATAACTTCTCTATTTCTCTATAACTTTCGAAAAATAATCCACTTGTAACGAGTGCATTCGAGTTTCGCGTCTCAACAGCGAAAGAGTTGTACACCAAGTTCGCTGGCGAATTGTCGTTCGTGACACAAAACGTTTTAAAAGAATCTATACCATAATTATTCACACGGAGAATCTCAAAGAGAGTCTCATTTTAGGTAGACCAGCATAGCTCTTTAAGGATTAAGTCAACAAAAAGAATGCCATTTCCTCCGGAATGTCAACCCTTCAAAGTTCAGGATATACAGGGTGTTCCAGAGTTCGTGTAAGAACCGGAAATAAGAGTTGAGACGATTCTGAACCGAACTTTCCTTTGCAAAAATCTCGGATGGTGCTTCGTTTTTGAATTATTAAAGAAAAACCAGCGACCAATCACACGTTGGGAACTATGTATGGTCTCTCGGCTAAGCGCGCTGCTACACGGTCGCTGTGATTGGTCAACGGTTTTTCATTAATAATTCAAAAACGAAGCACTATCCGACATTTCTGCAAAGGAAATTGTGGTTCAGAATCGTCTCAGCTCCCATTTCCGGTTCTTACACTAACTCTGGAACTCTATGCATTGGTAATTTTCTAAAAAAAGCTATTGAAAAGATACTTATGGCAATGGCTACGTACGTTTTACCGCCAGGAACGTTGCTCATCCCGTTACTCGGGGGTATCCTTACGTGGCCATCGAAACCGAGCTGTAAAAATGGACGGAATGCATGAATTGTTGTACAAGTTGACCAAGGCCAGTGTCAAGGACGCGCGTTTCTTAAGAAATAAATTCGAGACACGGCCACGGGCAACGATAAGAATTATTCGCGGCCAACGCATCGCGAAGGATTCTTCTTCCCGGACAAATTCGATTCACGTTTCCCGTTTTATTCGACGTCGCTGTTCTTGCTCGAGGGAGGTATAACAAGGCTGCAAACAAGCTCGTTAATGCGAGCTTCTAAACCTACGGTTGTCTTCAAGAGGGGCCCCCACGTCAAAGAGGACTATTACCAAGAAATCTTTGTGTACTTTAGCTTATTATTGCCAATCATCATTGAATCGCTAAGGTATTTCGATAAAGTACTCTACTTTCGTGATCGGAGCAATAATTAGTATAGCAGTGGCGCGAACAGCTTCCTTTTATTAATTTTAGTTGAAACATTCAATAAAGTATTTTGTTTGTTACAGACCCTTCTCGAAACACCGATAGCGATGGACTAGGGGTGTGCGGGTACCCGATTTTGGTTCGGGTCGGGATTTAATCGGTTCAAGTCTTAAAAGTCTCACTGCACAGGATTTTACTTAATTAGCATGTACTGGAAGGTCTATTTAATTTTCAATACTTTGAATTAAAGCGAATTGAAGAATGTTTCAGGACCCATGTTAATAGATTGTATGTTATAGTTTAGGTATGACAAAATATTCACTCTTCTACGTAGACAAGTAAAAGAAATATGTTACAAATAAAAAACAAATAAATTTAGGATGTTAAAGAATCACTTCTGTTTAAAAGGGCAGGATAAAAAAAAAAATATTAATATAACGAGAGAAATAAATATCGCAAACATTAAGTTAAACAGTTTTCAAAATATTCATTTTAATCGATAAACAATGTAATACCAACAGGATCGAAATTATTTTATTTGTAATTATATCACAGATTTATGGGTTGTATATAGACTTTTGTGATTGATTATACTTGGATGACATAGCTACGATCTGTTGAATATACACACATTGCTATAGTTGAACTGTATTGTTGTCGGTATTGTTGCATAAAATCGCATTAGTTAAGCAAGTAGTTCACGTTGTCGAATACACGAATCTCCATCCGCATGAACGAAACTGTATCGCGTTTTCCGTCGTTGAATCCTTAAGCTGGATTCACACTATTCACTATTCGTTCAAATACCCTTCAATGGATTTTATCTTTTGAAGAACGACAGTCGAAGCACGGATAAAATGAATCCAGCTTTAGAGCCGGTTTCCACGAGCGTTGAAGCAACGTTAAAACGCCGTTGATATTGCCGACATTGAGCTACCAATTTCCCGGCTCGAATATGTTTAAGATATACAGAACGTTGAATTTTGCAATTTCGATCGATTTAAGGGGCGAAACCACGATAGAAGGCCGGATATTAAATGTTTTCTATAGAGAAGAATTTATTTAATTTTTAGTTCATTTTGAGAGTATTGTAAATATACCTTAAGGTATATTCGATAATTTGTTCACATTGAAATCTTCGAGTTATGACGAAAAAGTTGTTAAGGAGTAAAAGATGATTGCAGAGAGTGTACAGTAAGTCCCGTCTAAGAGACGCTAACTCTGCCTCTTAGACGTCGAAGAGTCTAACACGCGATAGACTTTAAATTCCTTTCAAGCTCGATGCTTACATTACGAAGCTCGCAGTTCCAAGAAACGAGAAATCCCACGCGCCTCTTAGACAAGATTCATTTCGTTACTCGTACATCCGTATATTAATCGATTAATCAGATCCTGGAGTGTACTATTAATACCGATAGGATGAAGATTACTAATCCCGACCCGACGCTACCCGAGCCGAAATTTTCAGGTACCCGCACACACCCTCCCGTTACGAAAGTGATCAACAACCGAATGTATAGTACATGGAACAAATATAGTGACTGTCTTAAAGCCTCCTTCTCGTTAAATCCGCGCTAACGATGGAATTTCCTCATTATCGTCGTTATTAAACTTCCTGTTAACTATAGACCCGTATATAATGAATACGATTCATTTTCTTTATCATAGAATTTCTTGCATGTTTTTAAGGCAACAGGATTCCTTAAAAAATTACATAGTTTTGTAAAAAAAAGCATCGTAGAATTGTCTTTTTGAAGTGAGACTTCTGTACCAGAATTTATGTAAAATTGATATGCTACTGACGTGATAATTCGTAGCCAGGTTTGCCACGTGTTCTACTTGTTGTAAGACAGTTTGTATGGTAGGTCGTTGTATGTTTATATAGAATATTCTATTTAATACAGTGAATCGTTGGTAAGTGTCGCAGAGTCAGGTCCACAATGTGACATTTATCGAGTGGAGTTGGCATATGCTTTCACTTTTACTTGCACGTTTGGACATACATATTATACTCATCACGCGACAGTAATTGAAGAATATTTCGCGACACTTATCGACGATTCATTCTACCCGCAATACAAAGGCACGGATTCCAATATATGCTTCAGGACTTTTCGATTCTCTTTTGCCCAAAGAATTCCTGCACTTAATTTAAACCCACAGTCTCCTAAAAATAGTCCTCCAGTTTACCCT